GTCTACCGACACCTGAGAGACAGCAACTGGTACTGGGCAACAGATTCCCTGTAATTTTTCGAGCTCGTCGCTTGCCGGACCCGCTAATCCGCGTACCTGGCCTTGCTCAGAGTGCTCAGCTGTGTTTTGCATACATGCAAAAAACTTGTTATGATTCTTTTCCTTTCTCTGTTTATTCTTTTACCAGGCGTGGGCCATCCCCTGGATAATCAAAATGGGTGCCTTATTATTTTTCTGTTTTTTAGCTTGTTTTCTTTACACTTCCTTATGCGAGTTTCGTATCAGATCTATTAAAAAAGTTCATAAGTTTTGGTTGATGAAGTTTACATGTACATTGTACATCAGTCCAAACACTGATAATTTACAATCTCTTTTCATCTTGTTTTTAGTTTTCTAAACACCTACCGGTACTTTTCCCCATTCTACTTGGCGATTTATCCATTTGAACACTATATGATTCTCAACTTTGCCCAGTTTATTCATAGAAATCATGTCATCATCTCACTGCCTACCCTAACGGAATTATTTCCACCGATCACAACAGGCCTTAGAACTAGAAGCCACTCTAATGCTTCCATTGCCATATCTAAGCACCGGACAACTGATGGAGTAAATTCTTTTTCTAATCGTGCCGCAATTTTCTTTAATACACTACCTGCCGAGTGGCGCAGACACCACCGTACCTCTACATTTGCAAACCAACTCAGGGATCTTTTTAAAGACCCAGTGGCGTTTAAGAAGTATTTTGACCTTCTTTTTGGAATCTGTTGAGTTTCTCGATGATCTTGATAGTTCTTGTACTAAGATTGAAGTTGACTTGGTGTTTGATTACTGTACTGCTTGATGTCTGAATTCCAATTTTTTTCTATTTTTTCTTTCTTTTCCTTTCCTTTCCACTTATCCCGTTATCGGCCCTCTTAAGAGTTGTGTGTATCACTGTTGAGGCATCCGATGGTAAATAAAATAAATACTACTACTACTACTACTACTTCCCCATAGCTAGATCTAGCTTTCCTTTACATTTCTGTTTCTTTTTCCTGGTACGTGCTTGTGGCATTGAAGCCGAGACCTTTGGTCGGTGGAGCCCCTGGTACCTCACCATCACTGCTGCCCAGTGCAGCCCCTGCTCAGTAGCTAGCTGTTTGCCACGGTTTTTGTCCACATAATTATTTATTTTACGAGTTGGGTTTGTGAATAATAGTAAAAAAAATAAAAAAAAATAAAAAAATGGCGTCACGCTTTCTCTAGCTCTGCCTTGTCGCAGCACGGATCCCTTCCATGGAATGACCATGATGACGCTGGTGCAAACTCTGTAACCATGGTAACTGTTGCACAAGAAGGCCGAGATGTGTGCTGAGTGAGGGCAGTGAGGCGGCCAACTGACGGGATAGAGTGCACCGCCGGTTGACAAGGCTCAAACCTCCGTCACGGCATGGTAACGCCAGGATGTCTCGCTCCCGGCCACTGCTGCGACGAGGGAGGTTCGGATCACCACTGACACCAGCCCTAGTGGCGTGAACATCTCAGGAACTGTCCTGGCCAGGGACGACCACGTATGGCCCGGAAGGCCATGGCATGGGTGAATGCCGCATAGAGTAGGCTGTCTGTGCACATGTGATCAAGAGAACATACATGACATGATGATTGTGTCGTATCCGGACGGCCCATGTACATGTACATGTATGTGGGATACATGTACATGTATGGTACATGTATCCAATGCTGTATGGTACAGTGTACATGTACATGTACATGTATCCCACATTCCCAGTGACAAGGTACATGTACATGTAGATCTACTAGGTTCATCCGTGTGGTGGGGTGCGGGGTAAGGGGGGGGGGGGGGGCGTACCACACTAAAATACCTTCCGACGCCCCTGAAAGAGGTGCTGAGTCTGAAAAGGTACTCTGCTGATCAGGACCATTGATAGGCCTTTGTGGATAATGCCGGCAGAAAAATTGGCAGAATTCGGCACTTTTTCTTGTAAGTTTCATGCATGTTTGGTATGTGGATAAAGACATGGAGCAGAATTCGAGGAATTGCCCGCCATAAGGTTTGTATGGTTCTGCCAATTTCACTGCTTTTCGAGCAGAATCTGCCACCTTTTCGAGCATTATCCGCCAATGCCTAACAATTGAACTTACTTGAAGTGCTCAGTGGGCAATGAATAGGCTTTAAGTACATGATTGTATTCATTGCAAAAACGTTTTAAAAGTCATTGTTCCGTTGTTGCCTGGGAGTTGCATATGCACATCCAGCGTGAAACTGCGTAGCACTAGTCCTAGTCCAGAGTCACAAAATTCTATTACCATCCTGTGTCTGTGTGAGTGTCGAAGTCTGAAGAAAACGTTGAACGGTCTCCGCTGGGATGACAGCTACATCGTCCACAGCTCAGTTTTTAATAGGTGATTAATTTTAATGTGGTCATGGAACAATGGATGTCACCCTTCACATCAAAGCTGGAGCCATGCTCAGCCATAAAGATGGTGGTCAGGGTACTGGACCCGCCCTTCACGTGCCAAGGCCATTGCTCGTTGCTCCCGTAGGCGGTCTTGGATAATGGCAGCTTTTGCTTCCAATGCTGCGTGGTGGCGAATCCGCACTGCCGACTTTGTTGCCTAGTCCAGCCGAATGCTCTCCAACAGCTCATGAAGATCCACCGGTGTACACGTAAGTAGTACGTTGGATGAATGTACGCACCGAAGACGGAAGCAGTGAATGCAGCGTCAGGATGTTATGTGTTGCTGCTACATGGACAATGTACGTTGGGAAGGTGCTCAATCTGGTTGGCCCATGCTTGAACTTTCGCTTCCAGATTGGCAGAGACAAATTCTTCTGAGCCCATGTTCCGCTGTCCCGCCTTGTGGGCCAAGTAACATAGTCATCGCCCTCGCCAGCTTCATGTATCTTGATGCGAACCCCTCCAAAGTCGACTAGTCGAGGTCTGTCTCCGCCCGAAACTCAGGTTTTAACACAAGGAATGTCTTCGACGGCTTCGGGAAGTACATGTACATGTACATAATTTGCAGTACATGTCATTGTCATGTACATGTACAATGACATGTACGTGTACATGTACATGTACGTACAAGTCAGTACATGTAGTAGCTAGCATGGCATGATGATATGTGTTCATAAAGGGGCTGAAGACATGTACATAATTCACTGTGTATAATACTGTACTTTGTCAGAAATTTGTGGCGCCCCCTTCATCAGGATCCTCACTACGCTCCTGCCTTGCCGTATTGTATGGCAAGAGCACCTTCGGCTTCGCGGACCACTGTATTTGCCTGTGACGGGACCTAAAAAGGAATGGGGTGGACCGTGGGCACCTCGCCTTGTATTCATAATTCAGCCCGACAGGATCCGCTACGCTGGATCACTGAGGTTTTCTAGAAGGGGGGGGGGGGGGGTCTGACAAGTAACAAACTAACGTGTGTAAAATACCAAGAGCAAGAGTATGGTTTATGTACTCCGGCTTGGTGTCACTTATGCTTTGCACTGTCATGTAATGTACGTGTGCATGTACATACATGTACACGTACATATATTACGGGCTTCCGTTTTGCCATTTATGGTGTCTTTGAAGTCATACCATTCACATTCAGGTTATCAGGGGACAGTACTATTTCAGTAGGCCTGATTCTGCTGTTTTGATGAGTGATACATGTACTGATAGAGAGCACCAGACACAGGGACGGTGCACAGACAATAATTATTAATATGAATTATTGTACTGATACATGTAATTGTTTTTTTGGTGACAATACCCACGCGTTCGCATTCAACGACGAAGAGTCCCAGCCTGAGTGAACGGCTGCACGGCACGCAGCTGAATGATCCCGTGTATTTCAACTACTACAATACATGACTGTAGAGTGTAGGCTGTGCTACTAGTACGACGAGTACTTGTCTGCAGCATGAAGCGTAGCATACATGACTGTACAGAAGGCCAATAGTATTATACTAAGCACAATGGCCAAACAGTAGTGAAAGCAACGCAGCACTTAGCCTTAGGAGTGAGAGCGCTAGAGGGTGAGAGCCTAAGAGGTTCTGAGCGGAATGAAGGTGGTTTTAGTTGGCTGTCATAGACGTGTCATAGACGTTATTCTATAGATTCTATAATAGGTTCGTTGTCTTGCCCACGTGACCACGTGAAATGATGTTGCTGTCACGGCTTCGTACGATCGCATCCTGCAAACCTTATCCGGGCTAAATAAGTCCACTCAGGACCATTGATCTGCAGTTTGCGATCAGATCTACTTAGTACTATCGTAATGCTGGCCCTTTGATCAGTGTAGTGCTAGAGTCAGCGGCTCAGCACGAAGCGCTCGAGCGCTGGGCAGTCACGGTTACCATGGTTACATGTAGATCTACTACAGACAGTTACTACACGGACCGGTAGTCCGCGATCTCCGGTGCAGCCCCGGTGGCCATGGTGACGAGGCATCATCTCGATCCTGATTCCTGAATCATGAAATGCCACGCGAGCAGGCCTGCACTGCAGGCTGCAGGAATGCAGGCTAGAGCAGTTCATTTATGACCGGATGATGCCCTGACTGCATGCTTGCAGCCGAGGTAAGGAGGGTGTTGCAGTCATGTAGTAACTGTTGTAGATCTACATCCGCCAAGTGCGGTGCCAAGTCTAAACAAAGATCTACTTTAGCACTTCATGATCTTACTATACTAGTATTAGTGTGGCTAGCTGAGTAGCTCCGATCCCGCCGAGCAGAGCGTAGTCTGTAGATGACGACCTGCCCCCACTCCCCAGTGGTGGACCAGGTGGGCACAGATCTACAAACTACTTGCGGAGGACGTGTAGATCTACATGCGCTGCAGTGATCTGATTATGACACTGTGAGTCGGTGACAGATTCATGTCCGTGCCTTCACAATGTTCACTGTCGACAGGTCACACCCGCACCCGGACCCCAACCAAAGCAACACAAATCATAATGCACACACACACACAGACACAGACACAGACTGTGCAGCCAGCCATTCAGCGGGTCAGAAAACTGTGAATGATCTCAACAATGACTTCCTTGGCAAGGCACACACATACCCAAGTCAGGCTTTAGTTAGTACTTGTGCGACTGCGGCGCACCGAGCAGCTTATTTCGGAAAAGCCGTCCTGTGGTTCAGGACGACCAGAATAACGAGAAAAGGAAGGAAGCTGAGTCGACTGTATGTGCGCTTGCGGCTTAGCTGACCGTAGTGATTCAGTCAGCCTCGCGGAGAAAAAAGGATTGGAAGAGTTGAGTTTTAGTCATTTCTACTAGCATACTAGCATACTTCCATCCGAGTACTCTTACTAATACTAGTAGTTGCAAGTATTCGGCATATTGCCGGGGAGCGCAAGCAGTGCGGCTGCAGACATAGCCGCGTCAGTGCAGTCCTGGTCCGTGTGATGTTGTCAACATCAATCCCGGTTAGCCAGAGTCAACTAGCATAACTAAGCGGAGATTGGTATTATAATTTATTTGCCTTGCTCTGGTCGAGTGTCGGAGCTGAGAGCGTATCCGAAACTCCGAATTCGGCGTGCGCTTGACCCTGCGTGCGCGTATGCGGTCCTCTGCTCCGTTATAGTTCAGTTAATCAGTAGTTACTTTTGCTGTTGTAGGCTGCTGCGATTCGGCACTGGCCATGTCGGCTAGCAACGCTGAACACCCCTGCGTGACTTCCGTCCGGGGTCTCTGGCGAGTGGTTGCCATCGCACTCCTCTGCTTTCTGGCCGCGACCTCGGCACGTTTAGTTGATTTCGATGAAGAATTAGCTTCTGGCCACGAGCGCCTTCGACAACTTGCACACCGCTATGAGACAGTACATGTTGACACAGCTCACCACCTGCACGGAGTTCGGAAGCGTCGAGCGACTCAAGGAGACAACACCTATAGCCACCCACCATCGACCGACTTTGACATCCAGGCCTTTGGGCAGACATTTCGCCTGCAGCTGGAGTTAAATACTATGCTGTTACCGGTTGGCACACAAGTACGTTACTTCAAAGAGAATGGAGACCTTGTTGTGGATCATGATGCTGTCAACTGCTATTACCAGGGTGAGATGGATGGATTTAGTCATGGAGCAAGTCATGCTGTAATCAATACATGCAATGGAATTTCTGGATCATTTGGCGTAGGACCAGCTGGTCACTGGACAATGGAGAGGACCTTTTTCATTGAACCGCTGACCAATGAACCCACTCCGAATGGCACCCACCTTCATGCTGTTTACAAAGCGGGTGACTCTAAAGAGAAAATTCACTTCGGGAGTTGTGGTGTATCAACTAACAAAAGCCAAGACCATGCATCACCACTGGACCTAGCACAGGGCATTTTGAATGTGGACAAGGACACCGTGCACATTCACCAACGCACTAAACGCCAGACATCCTCATCGGTCACACGCTATGTGGAGCTACTACTGGTGCTGGATGCAACACTCTATCAAAGCTCTAGAGTAAATCGCGACTTGACCGTTGCTGCAAATCGTGCTCGGTCTGTCGCTAATTTTGTCGATTCGCTTTACAGACAACTGAACATCCGAGTGCCATTGGTAGCTGTGGAGATTTTCAACATGGGAGACCGCTTTGTCACGTCAAGCATAGCAGATACAATGCTCGACAATTTTATCGCATACAGAACCGCTCAACTTGTGGGTCGTATTGCCCATGACAATGCACAACTAATGTCTGGGCTAGACTTTGCTGGCTCCACAATTGGTATTGCTCCGGTCTCCGGTATGTGCTCATCAAGATCTGCAGGTGTCAACCAAGACACAGCGTCAGCGTTCTCAGCGGTAGCGGGCACAATGGCGCACGAAATGGGTCACAATCTCGGAATGGGCCACGACGATGGCCGCGGCTGTACATGCACAGCTTCATCTAGTGCTGGCGGATGCGTAATGGCTGCCACCGCATCCCGTGTTCCACCGCAGGTATGGTCCAGCTGTAGCCGCTCTGATCTCAGCACGTTTCTATCACGCGGTGCTGGCTCGTGTATGGACAACCAGCCAACAACACTATTTGGTGACCCGGTATGCGGCAATGGTTTTGTGGAGGGCACTGAGCAATGTGATTGTGGTACAGCAGCACAGTGCACAACAACATGTTGTAATCCAGCTACATGTCGTTTCACCACCGGTTCTCAATGCAGCGATGGTCCATGCTGTCAAAACTGCCGCTATCGTGCTACGGGCACACTCTGCCGCTCTGCTGTGAACAGCTGCGACGTAGCTGAGACATGTTCAGGCCTGACGCACACTTGTCCCAACAATATCTTTGCGCAGAACGGCCAGACTTGCGGCTCGGGGTCATTGGCATCATTTTGCTACAATGGACAATGTAACACTCACGATACTCAGTGCAAGAGAACATGGGGAACATCTGCAGCCGTTGCTCCTCAGATCTGCTACGATCAAAACACGCAGGGCTCCGGCAATGCCAACTGTGGTTCCACTTCAACCACCTACTTGAGATGCGCAACTACTGATGTTCGTTGCGGTCGCCTTCAATGTACCGGCGGAGCAGCCTTTGCCATAATCTCGTCATCAAGCCGAACAAGCACTATCACAATAAGATATAGCCAAGGCACAGTCGTCTGCAAATCAACTACAATCCCGCTAACTTCGGACATGGTCGATTTCAGCTTAGTGGCCGACGGTTCTCCATGTGGATCAAGCTCTCTTTGCGTCAGCCAACGTTGCAGATCGATAAGTTCACTTGGCATTACACCATGTCCATCAAGTGGTGGTAGGGTGTGTGCAGGAAATGGTGTGTGCACAAATCTCAACTCATGCTTGTGTAACCGTGGCTGGACAGGTGCTGACTGCTCACGTTCAACTAGTGGTCCTGTGAATGGTCAGTGGAGTCCTTGGACAGTGTGGTCAGGCTGCTCCCAATCCTGTGGTACAAGTGGTGTAAGGACACGCACTCGGGACTGTGATAATCCACCGCCAAGTAATGGTGGTACGGTATGCGCTGGTGCAACTAGTGACCGGGAAACATGCAACCGCGTTCAATGTGCCACACCTGTCAATGGTAACTGGGCACAATGGAGTTCATGGTCTGGATGCTCGGCTACATGCGGAGGTGGAACTCGTTTTCGTCTACGTACGTGCAGCAACCCACCGCCATCCAATGGCGGATCACAATGTTCTGGTTCTGCTCTAACTTCAGAGCAATGTAACACCGCAGCCTGTCCAACATGGACACCATGGGGCCCGTACAGCACATGTTCCAAGACGTGTGGTGGAGGTGTTCGTGTCCGTTCCCGCTTGTGTCCTTTACCTGGTGAATGCTCTCCTGGTTCTGCCACAGATTCTGATGCATGCAATACTCAAGCTTGTGGACCTGCTCCTGTCGACGGTGGCTGGTCAGCATGGTCCGGCTACTCTCCATGTTCCGCTACTTGCGGCCTTGGCTCTCAGGTGCGAACGCGTTCTTGCAACCAGCCATCGCCAACCAACGGTGGCAAGAGCTGTAGGTCTGATGATTTGGTAGTGGAAACCAACTCTATCAGCTGCCAGAGACCTTCCTGTTCTCAATGGAATATCTGGGGAGCCTGGTCAGGCTGCTCCCTTACCTGTGGTATCGGTGCACGTGTGCGCATGAGAACATGTCCGGTTGCTAACAATTGCCCAGGATCAGCCACAGACACTGATAGCTGTAACGTATTAGCATGTGATATGTCCATAGCTGGTCAGTGGACACAGTGGACAGGCTGGAGTCAAGTAGGTACTTGTTATGGCTGTCCACGAGGTAGCTACAGGCAAAGGATTCGCAACTGCACAAGTCCAAAGCCAATGGAAGGAGGTGCTCAGTGCTCGGGTGCAGGTGAACAGCGCGAACCATGTCCTGTGTGCCAAGACGGTGGTCTCAGTGACTGGTCAGAATGGCGTGGAAACTGCGATGAAGAACACAGCCAGAGTCGAGTGCGAGCATGCACCAGCCCACCTCCGACTAATGGTGGACGCAACTGCACCGGCCCAACAACTAATGAGCGCATCTGTGCCAGGTTCTTGCCATGGAGCGAATGGGCTGATACTGGCAACTGTTCACTATGCGGTGAAGATCCGGTAAACAACGTTCAAGTTCGCCATCGTCAATGTAACACAACTCGGATTGCCCCATGCACAGGTGACCTGAATCAGACTCGGACTTGTCCGGCATGCACCTCAGAGCAGGCTGGTGGAGTATCAGGAGGCGCTATTGCCGGTATTGTTGTGGCAATGCTCGTCATTCTGGTAGTTGTTGTTCTTGTCATCCTTGCTTACATGAAACGATCTGGCTCCACGGTCCTGCCGCCGAGGCGTGGCAGTTTGTCAAGGGGGGACACAAGGCAGAGTGAATACGTCTTGGCCAGAGACTCAGATAAGCCCAAAGCCGCCGTCATTCTACCGCCGCGCACAGCCAACAGCCAACCCCCTCCACGACCGAACCAGGCACCGCCGCCTCGACCTGTGGTTGCCTTTTCTTCGCCGCTGGCTAAAGAAAAGAGGACTGAATCAAGAGAGAACCTGTTGAGCGATGATGATAGAACCGACTCGCGACCAACAAGGCCAGCGCCATCTCGACCGGCACCAGCGGCCCCAAAGAAGCAAGTGCCGTTCAGTAAGCCGTCGAACATCATCCCGTCGGCACCACCCTATCAGCCTCCAACTGCGGAGGCAACGGCATCGCCAAAGCTGCCAGCGAAGCCACTGAAGCCCGCGCCGCCTTCCAAGCCCACCACATCCTCACAGCCAGGCAGTGGCCAGAGTCCACAGGCTCGGCCCGCATTCACAGACAAGCCAATGTCACACGCGGCTACGCACGCCACCGGCACTGGCGGCCACAGTCCAAGAACCCAGCCAGCGGTCGCCGCCAAGCCCAGTACAAAGCCCAAGTTCAGTGCTGCAGTGCCAGTTGCGGCCACGCCGGCCTCGGCCAGTCCGTCAGTGCCGCCCAAGAAGCAGCCACTGATGCCACCCCCGAAACCGAGCGTAAAACCGCCCGTAACTCGCCGACCTGACTGAGCAGGATGTGTTCTTTAGGTGAATATACACGGTCATGTTGCAAGGAAATGAAACTTCACAAAGGCTATCATCAAACATCTATAATTCGAATTCCCTTTCCCATGCTTTCACGTACTCGAAGGCACGTTTGCGCTATAATTATTATAATGAGAATGCCTAAACTGCCATGTATCCGTGTGTGTGTTTTGGTACAATTGCTCTTGAGCGGCAAAACGTCTCTTCTCTGTAACCACTTAGACACCGGGGCAAAAGACCCCCCCCCCCTCCCCCTCCCCCTGAAGCCGCCAAATTTATACGGTTCACTTGAGTATATTACACACTGTGATGTTCGAGCACATTGCACAAGTCTACAGTGATGTTTTTGTTTTAGTGACCATGGAACCCCAACACTCGCACACGCACACACACCCACACACACGCTGCAGCTCCGTATTCTTGTGCCTGCCTGCCGCGAGCCCCGAGACATTCTTATAAATATTATGTTATGGCATGGCGGCATGCTTTGCTTTGGCTTCTCTTCTGTGCAAGTGTCACTATTCTATTTTAAAAATGCACCTTGACGTAGCGCTAAGAGTATATTAGCTCCCTGGGAGCTTATATTATACTCTTGCTAGCACTGATACGACTGTCTGTGCATTACGTGAGGACATTGCATTGCCGCTGCTGCTTTGTTGGAAGCTCCCTGAAGCAGCATTTCGTCAGTTGATGTCAATCACCAATGGTAACTCAGGAGTCTAGCCAAGAAACAATTGTGGGGGGGGGGGCATGGGGAAACGAGCCGACACCCATTTTTTCCATGTTCCACTACCATATCTTGTCTTGTCACACACATAACAATGCAATGTACAGGCATGCGGAAGGATCGGTACGAGGGATTTGTGGCCGCATTTTTCCTTTGTGTGACCTGAAAAACACAAAAATCACAATGTATTATTTTGATAGGGAAGGCCCTACAGACGTTGCGTGGTGGCACATTCTACATGGTGCATTATCGGAGTGGGGGGGGGGGGGCTGCGCCTCCCTACAGTCCAGCGGATAAAAAATAATAATAATATCTTTATTAGGATGACCCAGAGGCTTGTCGCCTATCAAGGGGTTCACCGCTTTGAAGGATGTACATGTACACGGATAATAGGCTCCGGTGGATTATGCCGGCATACTCATTGGCATACATGTAATTTGGTGGTTAAAGGGGAAGTTAAGGCAAAAAATAAAATTTCACCAGTTGTAGTCTTCGGGGTGCTGAGTCGAATGGTCTTGGTCCGAGAAAGCTGAGACGCTCCCTTCCTACTTGAATCCCAATCGAACTCGCGCACTTCCACCGAAACTGGGTGACTGCGCCCTACTAGATGGGGATTTGTATGCAAAATGTCACTAAAAGCGCCATTTCGTTCTTATAAAAGCACGGATGACCGCGATTGGCCCATATGTTGTAGTCTTTTGGACGCTGAGTCGACTGGTTTTGGTCCGAAAAGACTGCGATGCAGCGTTCCTCCTTTATTCCCAATCGAACATGGTTGAACAAGCGGTCACGTGCTCCTGGGTGCCCAAATCACCTAGTCACCACGTCGCCAGCAGGCGACAACTTTCACACCAAGGTTCAACTCGAGTTCAACTCGAGTGACAGGACTGCACCCAAAAAAGGTCAAACAGGCTAGTAAGTAAGTACCCTGCAGGCACGGTGACCAGGTGACTGGCGTACGCAGGAGCACGTGACCGCTTGTTCAACCATGCGCAGTCACCCAGTTTCCGCGGTGGAAGTGCGCGAGTTCGATTGGGATTCAAGTAGGAAGGGAGCGTCTCAGCTTCCTCGGACCACGACCATTCGACTCAGCACCCCGAAGACTACAACTGGTGAAATTTTATTTTTTGCCTTAACTACTTCCCCTTTAAAATATTGTAGCACAGTTTGGCATCCTTTCGTAGGTAGGCCCATAACTACAATGATTATACATGTATATGACTACCGTAGAATCCCGCGGATAAGCCCACCCGCGTTTAAGCCCAGGGAAAGTTCGAACATCACAAGGCTTCGTCGTACAAGCCCATGGGCCTAAATCGTACCAAGAGTCCATAAATTATGGACTCTTGGTCGTGCCAAGGACATGTATACTATGATAGTGCATGTAGTTTTTTTGTTTTTTTGTACATTTCAACACAATCATCGGTTGTTTTTGTTTGCACAGTGGCTTTCAGCAATGTACTTCTCACTTCCTTGGTACTTTTCAAAGCACAATGTTCAGATGTTGGTGTCAGCGTATAACTATAAGCCCATGCCCGCGTATAAGCCCATGTAACCCATGTTCTTGTATTAGCCCACCGAAATGTCCTTGTGAAACAGAATCTAGCCATCGGCATGGGCTTATCCGCGGTACTACTAGTACTACAGTTCTAGTATGTAGGCTACACAACGTACCTGATCAGCGCTGGTGGTCTGCATGGAAACGGGTTCAGACTTCAGAGGTCATACAGACAGTGCTTTCAGTGAAAACCAAGGTAGCAATCATGGCAATAGATTGTTGTACCGGCATCATGCTCGAACTCGTCTTCTTCAAAGTTCTTTCTCACGCTGATACTGTACATGTCATGTAGCAGAAGATCGAGTGAATCAGCAGGCATCTCGGATTCTCGGGGCGGACGAGATATCGTCGGGTAGTCCGCAAAACTCCGCATACAGTCACAACTAATTTGTTACTTGCCTCAACATGGCTGCGGTGACATCTCAGATTTCATTATGTCGGATAAAGCCTCCGTACGGGCAGGATAGCGCATAGCAGATAGTGAACTCTGTGCCACATACACACATGCACGAGGCTGGAAGTCTTGGTGGTACTCACCCGTAGCGAAGGCATAGGCCATCCTGAAACTCTTTATCTGTCTTTGTTAGGTTGAAACTGTAGCGCTTTATAAGGGTCTGCACGCCAACCAGGCCGATGCTCCCTTCTCCCGAGCCAACCCGATAGAGTGATCGGCATTGCATCGCTAAGAGCAAATTCTCCCGACACAATGCGACGAACGAGGCTGTCTAACTTAGACAGCATCGTGTTACTTTATTGAAAATCCATGGTAACGTGATCGGAAAGATGATTCTGAGAAAACTCAAAGTCAACACATGCAATTCATGATTAAAGTCGCAGTCACCTGGTCACTGAGTCGCAGTACTGTGTTGGTGGCATGCATGACCTTACGATGCCTAACCCACCAAGAGTCAAGCCGGCACGGGAAAGCAAAGAGGCTGAGCAAACTGTCGCCAGGCGGAGGACGACCAGTCAGCGCTGGAATCAGGTCATTGTCAATGGCTTGATCCGGAGGCTAGGCCCCAGCAGCGGATTCCGGGATTCCGGGATCCGCATGCAGCGACACGCAAATGACCATCTACAGTGAAACCTGTCTAAGACGACTGCTAAATGGACTTTCAAAATGTGGTCTCTGTTACCAGGTGGTCTCCCTATCCAGTGCCATTTGACTGAAAATAGCATCCCTTGTTCCTGGCTGCAGTGGTCCTCTGGGACAGGTGGTCGCCTTATCCGAGTGGTCACCTTGACAGGTTTTACTGTATTTACCAATGCCTGTGTCAGGGCGGTATGCCGACTGTGGTTGGCTAGCTTTTTTTTTTTTTTTTGTTTGTTGCAAAACCGGTGGAGAAGCCGCAACTCTCCAAAGCAACAAGTAACTGCAAAGCACGAAAAAGGCCAAAAACTAAACCAAGAACATGATTGTGTTAACATGTTTTTTAGAAAGACAGGACAAGTGAATCCATTGTCCATGATGGTCTCCCACGGTTACGTCGGCAAGCGAGCCTCCGTAGGGTCCAGCGGATAATGCTCCGAAAATGTTCGTTTAATGCTAACCATAATGCTCCAAAAACTGCCTTATAATGCTGATTATAATGCTTCCGCAAAGGATATAATGCTCTTGGTTTGGGACAGAAATGGAAGAAAGTCTGCACATTGTCAAACTTCCAGGAAATTATGCATATCGTGGATCTGCATCTGAAGTTGCCACCTTATCTCTCACGAGCTCCACCACTTCTTAGCACTATAAGACATGATCGCTTCTACATTGATTGCTCTCCATTCCAACTTTGATGCAGGGTTGTGGCAGAATAGTCGGTGTATCAAATCTTTCCCTTAATTATCCAATAATGAGAGATGAAACCATTATTGCAGATAGTCATTCATTGTTGGGATGAAGTTAATCTTGGCAAATAGTATTCCTGCCTGCAGACAAGCTGTCACTGCGTCCACTCTGTGAATAATGTCTTCATCTGAAACACCAGACGTGAGGCCTGAAAACACGTGGTCAGAAGTTATTTTGCCACTTCATATCCTTTGCTTGTGCTCTCATCTTCTCCTTGAGATGGTGTGTAGACGTACAGCTTGCCACAATACTCTTCCTTTCTGATAGCATTTGACTGTAGGTAGGCCTGGTATTACAACCGTCCACAACTAACTGTACGTGCTTCATCAGGAAAGTAAGACAGGCGCTGCTGAGCAATCGACTTGTTACTGGGTCCATGAGAAATTCTAGTTCTTTTCGAGCCTCCTGAGCTGGACTCGGCAAAGGCAGTTCTTTTGGAGCGAGCTCTTCCTGTTTATAGCCCCTCCTTCAACCTGGGCCAAATTTAGCAATGCATCAGTGTCTACTTCAGTATCGCTAGAGATGCTATCGCCAGAGCCTGTGGCACAACTAGAAACCTCTTCTTCGTCTGTTTGATATTCACTTCGCGTATGTCTCCTCCATAGCTCTCCATTATTCTAAAAAGTAAAAGAAACCTCGTAAATAATTTCTCCAGATTTGTATCACTTGAACTGCCTCGGCCTCGGTTGGGCATGCTTCACAAATGGCTTGTATACATTTACCTGACCACATCGCTACAATCATAACGTTTTTTATGTAGCAATAGTTATGTAGCGTTAGTGTTAAAGCAGTAAAGGTGTTACGTGTCTACACACTCACAAAGTCATGCGCCGTTACAATGCATAGTGCTCAACTGCCCGGAATGGGCGGAGCGTAGTACGCATGAGGTACAAAAGGAGTAAAATAGGGCTGTTTCGTTCTTACTCAGAGTTTCATGGCAAAAAAACAATCATCAGACAACATCTCATGATCATGATTGTAGCCGATTGTTGCCAAAAACCTGGGATTTCCCGATATTATCCACTATGAAACTCGTTATGCCGCTCAAACCTCACATAATGCTCGTTTTGTTCCTTTCTAATGCTCCATAATGCTCTGATGCTCGGATAGTCGTATAATGCCGAACATAATGCCGGCATTATCCGCTGGACCCTAAGCCTCCGCCACTGCCAAAGCAGCGTGGGCTCCGCAGGAGGGTGCAAATTTCAAACCAAAATCTACCGGTATACGCCTACAACCGCGGATGCACATGATACATGATTTCAGAAGGCCGAAGGAAATCCTGCATCTAACAAAGGCCATAACATGATTGTGAGTAGTGCAGCTGCTCACCCCTCTTCTCAGCCAACAGATGAGCAACAGATGAGCAACAGATGAGTGGTTGGCTAGCTACAGTGTACCGGTAGTACATGTATTAGCAATGACGGCAAGTCGACGCACCTCATCCGACCACTTCTGTACCTTTGTCTCCGCAAACTGCACACAGAATCGAGGTGTTCCGATTGCCGCGCCAACATACCGTGCGCCATCCTCTACTACCGGCTCTAGGACTTTTCCTACCCTGAGCCTTCCAAGTACAATCATGTAGT